GAAGAAGAAGAAGAAGAAGAAGAAGAAGAAGAAGATGAAGAATAAGAAGAAGAAGAAGAAGAAGAAGAAGAAGAAGAAGAAGAAGAAGAAGAAGAAAAGGAAGAAGAAGAAGAAGAGGAAGAAGAAGAAGAAAAAGAAGAAGAAGAGGAGGAGGAAGAAGAAACAGCAGCAGCAGTAGCAGCTGCAGAAGCAGCAGCAGCAGCAGAAGAAGAAGAAGAAGAAGAAGAAGAAGAAGAAGAAGAAGAAGAAGAAGAAGAAGAAGAAGAAGAAGAAGAAGAAGAAGAAGAAGAAGAAGAAAGAGAAGGAGGAGGAGGAGGAAGTAGCGTAGTAGCTACTCTCATGTTTGGCAAACGGGGTGGCATAGGCTCGATTCCCCAGCGAAATGTATTTAAAGATTGACCTGGGTTGCAGGCTACTGACGTCACCAAACCAGGCTAACGATACTTTAACGGGCTAAGATACGTTAAGAAGTACGTTAACGTATCTTAACCCGTTTTGGTGACGTTAGCAGCATGGCCCGTCAAATGGTTCAGGTTGATACGGAGTAAACATTGGTATCAGAAACAGTCATGAGTTGGGGGGAGTCTCGCGTGATATTGGCAACATAACACATTTCCACGCCTTTACTTAATGAACTTACTTTTGTTAATCCCATCCTTATTATTGACCTACCTAACTTCTGTTGGTGATATGTTAAATATTACACCCACCGCGTTTACCTTCATTGACATTTCCTATTTTACGCTGGATTGTCGTGGAGCCATTTAAAAATCCGGCTCCAACGAGATTCGAACCTATAGCCAAAGGTGCATGCAGACAACGGCGCTAACCACTGTATTGTCATCACCAGCAACATTGTCATCACTTGCCTCGCCGGTAAGCGGAGGCTGTCGTGTTTCAGCATCTCATAAGATTACCATTATCACGGATCATGTCAGTGTTGTTGTCTCGCCTTATTCAGAGGACATACCCATCCAGGTATAGACCTATGCATTGCAGCAGTTCCCAGATAGGGGTTGGGGGGGGGGGGGGAACTAGTAGATGGTAACTTGTGTCTTTGTCCCCAGCTAAAACCAACTTGTGCAAGTGCGACCCGGCAACTGTCTGTGATGTTATAACTACAACAACAACACCCACAAATACAACGACGGAATCCACAACTACAACAACAGCACCCACAACTACAACAACAACACCCACAACTACAACAACAACACCCGCAGCAACAACGTCCACAACTGCAACAACAACACCCACAACAACAACACCCACAACTACAACAACAACCACAACAACAACACCCACAACTACAACAACAACACCCACAACTACAACAACAACACCCACAACTACAACAACAACACCCACAACAACAACACCCACAACTACAACACCCACAACTACAACAACAACACCCACAACAACAACACCCACAACTACAACAACAACACCCACAACAACAACACCCACAACTACAACACCCACAACTACAACACCCACAACAACAACACCCACAACAACAACACCCACAACAACAACACCCACAACTACAACACCCACAACTACAACAACAGCAACACCCACAACTACAACAACAACACCCACAACAACAACAACAACAACACCCACAACAACACCAACAACTACAACAACAACACCAACAAGAACAACACCCACAACTACAACAACAACACCCACAACTACAACAACACCCACAACTACAACAACAACACCCATAACAACAACCTCCACAACAACACCCACAACTACAACGACGGAATCAACAACTACAACAACAGCACCCACAACTACAACAACAACACCCACAACTACTACAACAACACCCACAACTACAACAACAACACCCACAGCAACAACGTCCACAACTGCAACAACAACACCCACAACAACAACACCCACAACTACAACAACACCCACAACAACAACACCCACAACTACAACAACAACACCCACAACAACAACAACAACCCCCACAACTACAACTACAACACCCACAACTACAACACCCACAACTACAACAACAGCAACACCCACAACTACAACAACAACACCCACAACTACAACAACAACACCCACAACAACAACCACAACTACAACACCCACACCCACAACTACAACAACAACACCCACAACTACAACAACAACACCCACAACTACAACAACAACACCCACAACTACAACAACAACACCCACAACTACAACAACACCAACAACTACAACAACAACACCCACAACAACAACACCCACAACGACAACAACAACACCCACAACTACAACAACAACACCCACAACAACAACCACAACTACAACAACAACACCCACAACTACAACAACAACACCCACAACTACAACAACAACACCCACAACTACAACAACACCAACAACTACAACAACAACACCCACAACAACAACACCCACAACGACAACAACAACACCCACAACTACAACAACAACACCTACAACTACAACAACAACACCCACAACTACAACAACAACACCAACAACTACAACAACAACACCCACAACAACAACACCCACAACTACAACAACAACACCTACAACTACAACAACAACACCCACAACTACAACAACACCTACAACTACAACAACAACACCCACAACTACAACAACAACACCAACAACTACAACAACAACACCCACAACAACAACACCCAAAACGACAACAACAACACCCACAACTACAACAACAACACCCACAACTACAACATCCACAACTACAACAACAACACCCACAACTACAACGACGGAACCCACAACTACAACAACGGCATCCTCAACTACAACAACAGCACCCACAACTACAACAACAGCACCCACAACTACGACAACAGTACCCACAACAACAACACCCACAACTACAACAACAACACCCACAACTACAACAACAACACCCACAACAACAACATCCACAACTACAACAACAACACCCACAACTACAACGACGGAACCCACAACTACAACAACGGCATCCACAACTACAACAACAGCACCCACAACTACGACAACAGAATCCACAACTACTACAACGGAATCCACAACGACGACTCCCGTTCCATCATGTAAGTACACTCACGAGAAACTGCCAATTTTGCTTTCACTATCATAAAATTATGTTTGTATTTTCATGTTTAACTTTCGTCCACTGCAAACGTTATCCTTCAAGCATGTCAGTATTTCATTGCCATTACACTCCTTTTATTGATCTATAGGCAAGAGCATTTTTCAATAAAACACCACAACGACGTGATTCGATTGTAAAGACTGTACACATACAGGAACACTGGGATAAAGGGGGAGGGATAGTAATCGAAGAAGAGAAAGGCAAAGAAGTAACTGCAATGAAACATCAAGAAATGGGCAGGACTAAGTTGGCATACATTAAGTGGTCAAGTGGAAGACCGGGAAAGATGGCGGGTTTCATGTACCACTGCTTCCGTCAATACACCTCCACGACCCTAACTGACCAAGGGTTAAGTTATCTACAACAACTGGGAAAAGAGTATCATAGACACTAGTTTCTTCTTCGAGAAAAAAAAATACGGGGGGGGGGGGGGGAGGAGGGGGTGTTCACGAGAATAGCTTTAAAATAGGAAAATGTAAAGAAGACAATACAACGTGACACCCCTGTCACGTAGACTGGCCTGAGCAAGCATGAATGAAAAGTCAACCAGTGTGTCGTTAGGCCAGATTTCGTAAAAACAACCAAATGTCGAAACGTCCAATTTTTCTTGTGTGTGTTTGTATGTGGGTGTGTACGTGTGTTTATGTGTGTGTGTGTTTACGTGTGTGTATGTGTGTATGAATGTGCGTGTGTATAATATGTATGCGTGTGTGCGTTGTTGTCCTGGCGCCTTCGGTAAGCTTCCTGGGTCCCAGTTTAGCGGCCTAATTTCTGTAGCAATGCACTGGTACGAGATACAGCGACATATGCCAGCCAGTGAACTGTGCAAAGAATTGTTGTACCCTCATTATTTAAACGGGATCCGCCGGAGTGTAGCTGTTAGACTCATCCCTGCGAGTCGGAAGGTTTTGGGTTCAGCTCCTGACGGAGCCGAACGTTTTCAAAAGTGACCTTGTCCCCCAGGTCGACCCAGGTGAGTCCTGGAAAGTAAAGGCGGTCCAGGTACAGTACCAGGTACATTACTGGGAAGAAAAGGCGGCTCAGATAAAGTACCAGGTACATTCGTGGAAAGAAAAGGTGGCGCAGACTCAGTACTAGGTACATTCCTGGGAAGAAAAGGTGGCGCAGATACAGTACTAGGTACATTCCTGGGAAGAAAAGGTGGCGCAGATACAGTACTAGGTACATTCATGGGAAGAAAAGGTGGCGCAGATATGGCCCTATATGCCTGAAGGAGTGGAAAATGACTTTTCTCTTTACTTACTTTTTTAAAGAATTTCTTGTTATCAGTATGCCCCGCGCTCCAGCCTCGCATTCTCAACGGACAGAAAGTAACTGACGACTGCCCTTACTCTGGCATTTCCAACATTACATTCGAAAAGGGCACCATCTCTTGCGGCAACGCCGTCTTCACCATCGCCACGGTCAACGGCAACACGAAGCCGACCTTCCTCACGACTGGTGCTCTCAAAGACATCATTGAAGGTGGCAGGGATGCTAACATTGTGTGAGTACGAATATTGTTTTTGTTTCTGTGTCTTTACGTATGATGACCACGAGGATGGTGGTGGTTATCCTTATCGTCATCGTTAATATCAATAATGTCATCGTCGTCATTATTATCATTATCGTCATCATCAACCACATCGTCGTTATCATAATCGTCATCATCATCATCATCGGGGTCATCAACAACAACATATTCATTATCATCATCGTCATCATCAATAACCTCATCTTCACCAATAACGTCATCATCATCATCAACAACATCATCGTTGTCATTATCAACTACATCATCGTTGTCATCAATAACATCATCATCAATAACATCATCGTCCTCATCAACAGCATCATCGTTGTCATTATCAACTACATCATCGTTGTCATCGTCGCCATCATCAACAGCATCATCAAAGGCGGCATGCGTGATGCTGACCACATCACCCACCCAAGTTCCGATTATTCTATAAAATATAGGTCTAGTCCTAAAGGCCCGATACAACTGAAGGCGTAGAAAAGGGTCCTTTACTTTTATTACCAACATCATCATTTTCATTATCATCATCCTTATCATGAACATTGTTATACTAAATATGAGAATAGAGTTCAAGTTTTTGATCTCACCTAGCATTGCTACATGGCTAAAACTGTGATATAGACTAGCTTAAAGAAACAAAACTGCAATCTAGACTAGCTAAAAGAAACAAAACTGCAATCTAAACTAGCTTAAAGAAACAAAACTGCGATCTAGACTAGCTTAAAGAAACAAAACTGCGATCGAGACTAGCTTAAAGAAACAAAACTGCGATCTAGACTAGCTTAAAGAAACAAAATTGAGATCTAGACTAGCTTAAAGAATCAAAACTGCAATCTAGACTAGCTTAAAGAAACAAAACTGCGATCTAGACTAGCTTAAAGAAACAAAACTGCGATCTAGACTAGCTAAAAGAAACAAAACTGTAATTTAAACTAGCTTAAAGAAACAAAACTGCGATCGAGACTAGCTTAAAGAAACAAAACTGCGATCTAGACTAGCTTAAAGAAACAAAACTGTGATCTAAACTAGCTTAAAGAAACAAAATTGTGATCTAGACTAGCTTAAAGAAACAAAATTGTGATCTAGGCTAGCTAAAAGAAACAAAACTGCAATCTAAACTAGCTTAAAGAAACAAAACTGCGATCTAGACTAGCTAAAAGAAACAAAACTGTGATCTAGACTAGCTTAAAGAAACAAAACTGCGATCTAGACTAGTTAAAAGAAACAAAACTGCGATCTAGACTAGCTTAAAGAAACAAAACTGTGATCTAGACTAGCTTAAAGAAACAAAACTGTGATCTAGACTAGTTTAAAGAAACAAAACTGTGATCTAGACTAGCTTAAAGAAACAAAATTGCGATCTAGACTAGCTAACCAAAATTGCTTAAAAGAAACAAAACTGTGATCTAGACTAGCTTATAGAAACAAAACTGTGATCTAGACTAGTTTAAAGAAACAAAATTGTGATCTAGACTAGCTTAAAGAAACAAAATTGTGATCTAGACTAGCTTAAAGAAACAAAACTGTGATATAGACTAGTTTAAAGAAACAAAACTGCGATCTAGACTAGTTTAAAGAAACAAAATTGTGATCTAGGCTAGCTAAAAGAAACAAAACTGCAATCTAAACTAGCTTAAAGAAACAAAACTGCGATCTAGACTAGCTTAAAGAAACAAAACTGCGATCTAGACTAGTTTAAAGAAACAAAACTGCGATCGAGACTAGCTTAAAGAAACAAAACTGTGATCTAGGCTAGCTTAAAGAAACAAAACTGCGATCTGGACTAGTTTAAAGAAACAAAACTGCGATCTAGACTAGCTTAAAGAAACAAAACTGTGATCTAGACTAGCTTAAAGAAACAAAACTGCGATCTAGACTAGTTTAAAGAAACAAAACTGCGATCTAGACTAGCTTAAAGAAACAAAACTGTGATCTAGACTAGCTTAAAGAAACAAAACTGTGATCTAGACTAGTTTAAAGAAACAAAACTGTGATCTAGACTAGCTTAAAGAAACAAAACTGCGATCTAGACTAGCTTAAAGAAACAAAACTGTGATCTAGACTAGCTTATAGAAACAAAACTGTGATCTAGACTAGTTTAAAGAAACAAAATTGTGATCTAGACTAGCTTAAAGAAACAAAATTGTGATCTAGACTAGCTTAAAGAAACAAAACTGTGATATAGACTAGTTTAAAGAAACAAAACTGCGATCTAGACTAGTTTAAAGAAACAAAACTGTGATCTAGACTAGTTTAAAGAAACAAAACTGCGATCGAGACTAGTTTAGAGAAACAAAATATACAAAACCCCTTTCAGCATATCTATGCCCCGGCTATATTCAGGGCCCCCGGCAGAAGCCAGGGTGAGGCTAAAAAAAAGAAAAATTGCATTCCACAAGGGGATTAATTTGAAGTTATCATTAAAAAAAAAAAAAAAATACTTGAAAGGACGTTGCAGAGCCAACCTCAGCATGATTTGGTCATGGTGATTTTTTCTAGTAAAATTTACGTTGAGTAGTTTCCTATTGCCTTGTAAGCGGTCAACTCTCGGTAACCCTGTCGAAACCAACGCAAGACAAGCCGTCCATAGCTGGGATCGAACTCGGCAACCAGAAATTGCAAACTGCATTCGTAATCAACAACTGACGGCTGTCAGATTACAAAACAGAAAATGCAGAGTTGTCTATCTTGTTGTCAAAAACCGCCCACCAATTAACATGTATTTGTTGTGTCTCTTTCAGATTTGAAATTCAGATCGGCAATCAGAAATATCCGATCTTGCCAGGACTCTTCACACTCTACAATGGTAAGAGGAATCAGAGTGTATTCGATGTGTGGCTTGAGAATATAATAAAAACTTAGGTTAGTTGGGTATCCTTTACAGGATGTTAAAGAAAAAACCAACCCCAACAGCCCCTGGCTGTTGTGTGGTTTTTCTAGGCAAATTTACATCCAGTAGTTTGCCATTCCGCATGAACGGTCAGATTTCTTGATACCACTGTCGAAACCAACACAAGGCGCATGACCCGCAGCTGGGATCGAACCCGGCATCCCGGCATTACGAAGCGTTCGCGTCGACTTAGCCACAGAGCCGATTAAAAAAAAAAAAAAAACTAGTTATACGAATTCGCTCAAGGTGGACACTCGGTTACTGCAAATTCATTTTGGTCCCAGCTTCTTCTTCTCCTTTGCGTTGTCCGGTTATTGACTCCCGACGATAAGTATTGGTCGTTTCTTCTCTCCTGGACTTTAATCTTCATCCACACCTTAAGTTTTACGTTCACATCTGTTTGACGGATCTAGCTTATTTGTATGCAGACTGTTGGCACCTTGCCTCTCAGGCATTTGCACTCGACTTTAAAGAAAACATCATTAATTAGTCGCTTCCTGTGACGTATTTATTTAAAGGAGTGGTGAGTTTATTCGCCAGTAACCTGTCGTGTATATAAGGCTGGGCTCATTGTTTAGATTGTGTGATGTTGTTGGTGTTACGGCGAGAGCATTTGATCCTAACTAGATTGTGTGATGTGGTCGGTGTTACGGCGAGAGCATTTGATTCCAACTGGATTGTGTGATGTGGTCGGTGTTACGGCGAGAGCATTTGATTGTAACTAGATTGTGTGATGTGGTCGGTGTTACGGCGAGAGCATTTGATTCCAACTGGATTGTGTGATGTGGTCGGTGTTACGGCGAGAGCATTTGATTCTAACTAGATTGTGTGATGTGGTTGGTGTTACGGCGAGAGCATTTGATTCTAACTAGATTGTGTGATGTTGTTGGTGTTACGGCGAGAGCATTTGATTCCAACTGGATTGTGTGATGTGGCCGGTGTTACGGCGAGAGCATTTGATTCTAACTGGATTGTGTGATGTGGCCGGTGTTACGGCGAGAGCATTTGATTCCAACTGGATTGTGTGATGTGGCCGGTGTTACGGCGAGAGCATTTGATTCTAACTAGATTGTGTGATGTTGTTTGTGTTACGGCGAGAGCATTTGATTCTAACTGGATTGTGTGATGTGGCCGGTGTTACGGCGAGAGCATTTGATTCCAACTGGATTGTGTGATGTGGCCGGTGTTACGGCGAGAGCATTTAATTCTAACTAGATTGTGTGATGTGGTCGGTGTTACGGCGAGAGCATTTGATTCCAACTAGATTGTGTGATGTGGTTGGTGTTACGGCGAGAGCATTTGATTCTAACTAGATTGTGTGATGTTGTTGGTGTTACGGCGAGAGCATTTGATTCCAACTAGATTGTGTGATGTGGTTGGTGTTACGGTGAGAGCATTTGATTCTAACTAGATTGTGTGATGTGGTTGGTGTTACGGCGAGAGCATTTGATTCTAACTAGATTGTGTGATGTGGTCGGTGTTACGGCGAGAGCATTTGATTCTAACTAGATTGTGTGATGTGGTCGGTGTTACGGCGAGAGCATTTGATTCCAACTGGATTGTGTGATGTGGTTGGTGTTACGGCGAGAGCATTTGATTCTAACTAGATTGTGTGATGTGGTTGGTGTTACGGCGATTGACCAGAATGAAAACCAAAATCAATTATTAAAAGATACATCCTGAGACTAATTTGAACCCGCTACTTTCGGGCCGGCAGGCGGGGGTCTAGCCACTACGGTACCTCCTCTCCGCGTCACATTTACGAGTCTTCTCAACTTATGTCGGAATTGTGTTCCAACACGTCATTAGTCGAACTGGTCGAATTTATTATTTTTTAACACTATTTTTTTTTAACGGAATATAAAAATTGTATGTAAAACACACAAATTCAATCTTTATGGGTATAATTTTTGTACTTTGTGTGAAAAACACAAATTATGTTCTCTAATGCATCAAAGAACAAAGTGAGTGAGCAGCGGTGGTGGTGGTGGAGGTTGGGGGGGGGGGGGGGGGGGGGGGGGGGATTGTCTTAGGTTCTCGAGTGTAATAAATGAGGCCGCTCGACCAAATAATTTTTTTAAGGAGGCCGAGATGCCCCTTTCAGCCATACATATCTTCTTCTCTCATTAGCTGTAAACTCCGGTGGAAAATTATGGGGTTCATTTTACGTTATTCAACCCTGAAAGAGAGTAACCTCCCTTGCCATTCACGAATCTTCTGGTCGCATGACCTCCCTACGATGCGGGGGTGTCATGTTTTCCTTATTGTCAAGGCTTTAACTGTTTCCTCTTTTCCCCTCTTCTCACCGCTCCCACGTGTGATTATTTTCACGTTCTGCTGCCTGCGCAGCGGATCGGCGGTGCAGAAACAGCGATATTTTTCTATTCCTACGCTTCTTGTGAGAGCT